ACTGCAGTCTCCCAAACCCTTAGACATTTTAAGTATGCGGGACATCCCCCCCCCCATCCCCCCCGCCGCCCGGGGGGGGGAATTTTGGGGTGTGGAAGTCCACACATCTTAAAGTCGCCAAGGTTGAGGAACCCTGATCTAGATCCATTTCCAAAAACTATGTTTCTAAAACTAGCAAGCAAACCTTTTTAACACCTAATTCTATAACCTTTACTAGTTACTATCACTGAATGAAGAGGAAACTGGAACTCCTCATCCATATTGTGCTCCACGTTAAACAGAGAGGGGAAAAAAGAAAAGAATGGGATGGAATTGGACTGTCAGGCAAATTTATAACCTATTTTATTTATTTATTAAATTTATACAGCCGCCCATCTCACACATGGGACCGTCTATACACAAGGCAATGCGACCTTTGATCCATGTTGCTGGCCAACAGAAAAATAAAGGGATAATCCAGAATTATTGCCATGAGATAGGCAGCTATAGAAATTGCTTAAATCAAGAATAAAGCTCAATGTCTTAACAATAATAAGGCAATAATTACTTTGCTCCAATTAGCAGAGGAGCAAAGCATATCCCCAGCCAGAAAGAAATGACAGGAACGAGGGGCTACAGTCGCCATGGCAACCGTGAACCTAGGTGTGACCTAGGTGACCAGAGGGACGGTGACCATGGCAACACAACGGAAGGTCTCTGCGAAAATGGCTCGGGACTAAGACAGGCGGCCGGGGGAAACGAAGGGGCGTGGCTTCCTTACGTAACGGCCGCCATGTTGGGAGGGGCGAGGCGCCATGACTCGCGAAAGGGGCTGCTGTCACGGCAACGGGGGAGCAAGGGGCAGGGGCGCCGGTTGCCATAGCGACGGTGGCGGGGAAGGCCGGGTCCCGGACCTGTGAAGCGACGGCAGCGCGTCGAGGTCGCTGGCCGGGTCGTTAGTGTCAGGAATGACGCCGAGGATGGTGCTCTTGAGTGACGTGCCCTTCAGCAGCCGGCTCCGCACCAGCTGCATGTTCCGCGGAGAGTCCACGCTGGCCCGCATGGTGGAGCCCGGCAGCAGCACGGCTTCGGGCGTCAGCAGCAGCGGCAGGCGGGTCGGGATTTGGATGGCGCTGCCCGACGACGCCATGCTGGGGGCGGGAGACTGGCGGCTTCGGGCTCGGCTCCGGCGCAAGGCCCGCTGCGGCGCGTGTCGGGTAAAGTCCGCGCGTCGCGGGCAGGCCCCGCTACGGCGGGCCGCGGGGTCCAAAAACCCCAAGGCGCGCGGGCCCCCCCCCGCCCCCCCCCGGCGCCGAGAGGCCTTCCTGCCCGGGC